TTAATTATTTCCTATTGAGAAGAATCGACATCTCATGCCTTAAAGCAATCAATTCTTACTCATATCGAAATAAAGAAAAATTACAATTCCATCCTAAAGTTCATTATTAATTCTAAATTCAAATAGATGAACAATAATAAAATAAAACAAATTAAATTTAAGGCTCCGTTTTAAACACGTTCCTTGAATTTTTGTGCTAAAAACGATAATATTTAATTGTTTTTTATCGAGAAGAAAAGACCGCTCAGGCCTTAGAGCAATCATTTCTTACTCCAATTGAAATAAAGAAATATTACTATTTCCTTCTAAAATTAATTCTTAATTTGAATGCATAAACGATGATAACACTAAAAATTAATTAAATACGATTACCAATCCTTTTAGAAAGAAGAAGGATGTTCGATCATTTAAAGACATCAAGATCGGACCTTTTATAAGTTCTAATGATATTTCCTCGATAAATTAAAATAGATGAACGTTTCTTTTTCTCTCGTTCCCAAATTTTATGTGTGGCCAAATTTTTAGGGTTTCAATTGACGGGATACATTTTCATTTTAAATTTTTCGAAAGTGACTTTCTTATAAGTTAAGATAGTCACTTCACAAAGACCTTAAAATGAAAGGGTGTTACCCTTAGTCCAATTATTTAAATCAAGTCTAGTTATGCCTGTGAGGATATTATTCAAATTAAACCCTAAAGCTATATGTACAAACAAAATATATTTACATACATATTATTTGAAAGCATATAAAAATCACAATTAACATCAATCAACGAAATAATATTTATTATATTATATTATACTTAACATGCAAAGGCTAATAAATATAACACATATGTACGATTACTTCCATGAAACGACATACAAAGTATATAATATATACATATACACTTAGACATTAATTTAAGTAAGAAATAAAATAAAATATGCGCATACATTCAACGATGGCCTACAACATGATAAGCATGAAAATGGCAAGTTAGAATGCATAAAACAAAAATGAAATATGTTTAGCAAAATAGGGACTAAATAATAAAAACATTAACTTAAGAGAAAAATAACAAACAAAATAAAAATAATATCAAAAGTGCAAACATCAAACAACAGAAGCTCCGAAAGGAAAATAAACCATAAATCATATTTGGGACTAAAATGAAATCATTCAAAATTATATATCAAATGTAAAAAAAATAAAAAAAAATACATAGGACTAAAATATAATGCGGAATGAAAATAAGGCTCAAAGTAAAAAGGAATAAAAGTTTCATTCGGTGGCTAAAGTGAAGAGGTCACAAACATTGGATGGCCCGTCGTGCGATTATCCCTTGTGTTAATTTCAGGAAACCCTAGCTCCCCTAAAACGATGTCGTTTTGAGGGGTTTAAATACCCTTTTATTTTTTAGAAAAACCCAACCCCCTCATTTTTCAACTCAACCGAAATTAAAGGAGAGATGGAGAGAAGAAATTCTCTCAACACCCCCTATCACCGAAGAGTTCCACCGTCGCTCACGACAGTCAGGGCTCATGATTTTTAGCCCGAAATGATCCTCTCCTTCTCCTAAACTCAAATCTATAGCCCCTTTTTCCTAAAACCAAACAACAAGCCCTAGATCTAAGAAATTACCTTTTGGTAATTTGGATTTTGATGACCCTCAAGTTTCTGGATGAGTCTTCAAACACAGTGAGGGCTTCTTTCTTCTCCTTCTTTTCTTTTTTATCAGCCTCCTATTTTGTTTTTTTAAAACAAACCTCTTTTTTCTTTTTTTTTCGAACTTTTCCTCTTCCTGAAAATCCCTCCTTTTTTCTCTTTATTTTTCTTTTATCTTTGTTGAATGCTTGTTTGGTTGGGAAAATCACAATAGAGTGGTTGAGCTAGGATAGAGGGGCATGGCTTGGTTGGTGGAGATCAGGTGAGGAAAATCAGTGCTTTGAATGCCCCAAATTTTTTGGGATTAGGTTTTTTTTTTGATATGATTTTGTTTAGTGTTTTTATGAAGTGATGATAGTGGAGTAGTTGGAATGGTGGTGACAGAATCAGCTCGGTGACGACGGCGCGACTTCATTGGAAGTGGCATGCTCCGACGGCGGCGACATGAGATATGTAGACTTAGGGTTTCAAATCCTAAATGTTTTTGGTTCTACTAGGCTAGGGTTTTGGCTAGTTGCCCCCTTTGTAACTGGGCCCAATTTGGGCTTGTAAGGGCATGCAATAAAAATAAATAAAAATAAATGTAAAAGTAAAAAATAAATTAAAATTAAAATTATAATAATAATAATAATAGTTAAATTAAAACCCAGACAAAACGATTGTCTACACCAAGAACGTTAGAATAAAATTGAAAGTGAATGAACTAGTGTTAAAAAAAAGAAAGAAAGACACAATATGAATACAAATTTGGCTCTTTTTCCTCTTTGATTGTTGGAACATATTTCTTATCTCTTCTTGATTGTTTCAAGACCCCTTTTATATGCCCTAATTGATTTCTAGTCGTTTGTAGTTATTGGAGCCGTTTGGAGTAATAAATTCGCCCATTCAATACAAATCTGTATAGAGGTTTCGAAATCATCTTTACTTAAAAAATTTGACCATTGAACGGGGTTTTTGAAACCTTAAGGATAATTTTATTTATTTCCTTAGGGTTTTTAAAACCCCCTTAGGTGGTTTCAAAACCCCCTTAGGTGGTTTCAAAACCAGGCTCAAATCCTTGAAAATTAGACTTGTTTTGGTTTGCAAAAGTATTTTAAAACTTTACGAATTCCAAAAACATTTTTAAATTTATTTTTGATATTTTGGTCCTTAAAAATATTTTTACAAACTTGAAAGATTTTGAATCGAATATGATAAAATATTAATTTTATAAAATTTTCAATTTAGTCATTCATTATATCAAAATCATTTAGTTACATTTATCATAATTACAAAGTCACAATTTATGGTATTTAGAATCGTTTTTACAAAGATAAGAAAAGACATACAAATGTAAAAACCAAATTACCTCAGTGGTTAAAGGAATCATTGTTATTACTAGAGGTCACAGGTTCGAGCACCACTGACTACAAGGGTGATTGAGCATTCATTACCAAATGGTTGAGAGTACTACTTTGTAATCACATTGGCTTACTTAATAAAAAGAATACATACAAATAAGATATGAATCTATGAATTACTGAATAAAAATTTGAGTACTTACCATTAAGTACATGTAACATCTCAAATTTTGGGTTAGTAGTTTCGGGTTGACTTGAGAGGTATGTGGATCACGTGGTATTCATATTTGAAGTCGTTGGGATGAGTGGAGGCTTATTTAGACATAATTTGGGTTTGAAGGGTCATAAAAAAGGGGATCTTTGTATATAATGGAAAATGCAATTTACAAAAGTATAATTATCCCATTTTAAAAAGCAAGGCTGATTTTTAGTGATTTTGGTAATATCATGCGTGGGTTGTAGGAGAAAAATCCTATGGCTTTCATTTTGTCTTCTCTTCCTCATTTCTTCTTTCTTTCTTCTTCTTTCTCTTCTATAGCAAGTTCCTAGCTCAAGGTAAGTTCATGAGCTTCCTTCCATACTTTTCGTAAACTGTAATCCGTCCATAAGGTTTTCTCATTTGTCATCTTGTGTTAAGAAATCATTGCCTTTCATGCTTGGCTAGAAAAAAGTGGTGGAGAAGCAACCAATTTCTAGAGAAGAGTGGTTCTTAGCTAAATGAGCTTCATTTCGGATTTCTAACATCAAGATAGTGCATTTCTAATCTTTTGTGGTGTTAAGGCTTCCATAACCATGATGTTTTGTTGAGATTTGGGTGTTTAAGCGTGTTAGGGTTTTTGCTTGATTTATGTCCTAAATGATGTTATTGTTGTAAAGATTATGTTTTATGGTGCTAGATAACCCTATAAGACTCTCTCAAGCTTTATTTGATGATTTAAGGTTAAAATAGAGTGTTTGGAAGGGTTTTTGGGTGATTCATGAGCCTTGTTCAGGATTTTCTGTGTTATAGTATTGATATTGTTATTGTAGTATTTATATTTGACTATAATTTTATAAAAATATTTTAATTATAAATATTTGACTGAAAACTTATAAATGCATAGTTTACCCTAAATTATAAATATTTGACTAAAAATTATAAAATATTTTAATTATTACACTATTTAATTTTAAAGAAAAATATTTAACACATAATTAATATAATTACTATATTAAACTAACACGAATCGAGCGACCGTAGTGGGAAAGAAATTATTATTATTTCTTGAGGTCTGGGGTTACCCTAGATTAATAAAAGAAATAGTATATCAAACTAATATTTTTAAATAATTTTCATGAGTATCTTATTTATTTATATATAATATAATATAAAAGAATAATATTGTAGTCTCGAGTGAAAAATATATTATTTTCAATATATAAGATGTTTTTTTAATAACTCAATAATAAACATTTTTTAAATAATTATATTTTTTACAAAAATAATATTTTTTACATCATAAAATTATAAAATGATTAATATATTAAATATAAAAATACATCAAATAATTTTAACTACTCAAATTTATTAATATTTTACTATTTCAAAATCTTTGTATATTATTATTAAATTTCTAAATTTTAGTAGAAAACAAAAAATAAGAATTGAGAAAAAAATCATACGAGAAGAATTAATTATTTCATGAGTATTTTTGTATAAAATGATGAGAATTATTCATTATTTAAGAATTTAAAAATAATGACATTACCACATTTTAAAAATATTAATAATTATAATAAATTATTACTTGATAATAACCAAATCTTAAAATATAATTCTAAAAAATTTATTGTGCTGATAATGATTTTTTCCCGCAAACCAAATATTCCTAGAAGTTTTATACATTTTTTTTATAATTTTATAATTCTTTTATATTACTCGTGGTGCATTATCATTGGCTCAGCCCTTTTTGCTAACACTATTATTTTAGGTATTGAAATGACAGAAAAAGTTGACTGGCAAAGTGGAAACATTAAACCCTCCACCTTCCATTATTCTTTTTCTTGTTTATCTCAGTCGATCTAGAGCCCTCCTAGCATTGAATCATCAAAATCAGCACAAAATCCCGTAGATCGCCCACCGGAAGCGTTGTCCATCGCGGCGCTCCGTCTCCGGTTGCCACTAGCTGGGTTATTTACCAAATTCCATCCAACGAATCCCATTGACCACCCCTCTCACCTTATCCATATAAATTCTTCCTGAAAAAATCCCTAAGCCTCCGATTACGGCCTACAAAGCTTATCTTAATATTCCCCTTTCATACTCCACATCAAAGCATCCTTAAAGTTATTATCATTGTGGTGTCGGTGTTGGAAATTGCTTGCCTTTGATTCTGTAGGTATTTGTATTTCCAGCAACTATGTCAGGGAATTCTAGCTGCAGCGTATACATAGGTCGGTTTTTTCTTCAAGAATCAATATCTTTATTTTTATTTATTTATTTATGTATGAAAATAATTTTTAAATTTAAGCCTCGAACTTGACTGATTTTTTTTTTAATTTAGGTAATTTGGATGAAAGAGTAAGCGACAGAGCTCTATATGACATTCTTATCCAAGCAGGGAGGGTAGTAGATTTGTATATCCCCCGAGACAAGGAAACCGATAAGCACAAAGGATTTGCCTTTGTGGAATACGAAAATGAGGACGTTGCTGATTATGCTGTCAGGCTTTTCTCTGGCCTTGTCACTCTCTATAATCGGACCTTGAAATTTGCTGTAAGTTTTTTTTTAGATTGAATTTATGGCTTATGCTTACCCTTTTTTTTTATCATCAATGTGTAAAGTTTCACTTGTTTCCGCTATTCTAAGCAAGAATAGGAAGTGCACGACAGATTTAGTACAAATTAGCTATTATGCTGTCTAAATGGAGATTTTTTTGTTTCCTGTGTGATTCATAATCTTGATGTTCCTAGTTTGTTTGTACTTTGTATAAGTATCTAAATAGTGATGATTAAGGAGCTTCTCTTTAAGTCTCTATAATCAAGAGGGAGGTTTTTAACGAGGCCTTCAATTCCTATCAAAAAAAAGTATCTAAATAGTGACTGAAATCCCAAACAGATTTCTGGGCAAGACAAGACTTCACAGAACCCTCCCTATGCAGCCATGCCTGCTACAAATTCATCCTACAAGTCAAGGCATCAGCATGGAGTAGCTAACCACATGGAAGTCTCTCAGCAACTAAAGAGGTCATCAACCCCTTCTAGGGTTCCAGATTATCCTGCACGTTACACCCAAGGTGATTATTTTTCTCTTGTGCGTTTCATCTATTATCTTCTTCGTTTTTAGGCAACATCACTTGATTGCCTATTTAGCTCCATGAGTGCTGAAAAGTTTGTTTTGATCCAGTGCTACCTCCACCTGGTGTTGCTCACCACTCTAATGGGTATGGATTACATTTCAATGATACCAATTATGAATACAGTCGAAGGGTTTTGGGGGCAACATTGGATAGCTTTAGTCGCCCTAGGTCACGTCGTTATGGAACAAGTGACCCAATTTCATATCCATCTTACTGATATTTATTATGACAGCTATATGAGGGTAAAATTCTTACATGACGCGCTTAATATTGATGGAACAATTGTAATTATTCAAACAAGATAGGTGGTAGAGTTATGGGTAAGAAGGGGCAAAGTTAGATCTGATGTAAGTTATTTTGTGGTCCCATCATCGTTTGTTTATGAATAATACATTTCATTGTGTGGTACTATATCATTATTGTTTTTTTATGAAAACTCCCTCTAAAATGCTGTATTTGTTTCTTTCTGTATAGTTATGATTGCATCTGTTCGGGTAGATTAAAACTGAATAGGGGATTGTTTTTTTTTCCCACACAAATAGGATATGAAGTTTGGATGTCAATCTTTCTTTTTCAGTAAAAGGAACTGAAGCCTCATATATTAATGTGTTATCTCATGGAGTATGTTCTTTTTTGTTTTTATCTTTGTTTCTTTTAGTTATTACTTATAAATTTATAATCTGTAGTGAGCTTAGCTACTAGAATGTTATGCATTGAATTTAGATATTCAGTTTTCTTGTAGGTGCTTGGTAATCAATGCAAGGTCTAGGTTGAGTGTCATGTTTTGGTTGGTATTTTTTGTTTTGTTTTGTTTTCATGTTTACTCAAGGATATTGAATTCCGGCATCATGTTTTTCACTAAATGGGTTAAAGTAAAAGTTTCCAATTGCTTTGAACAAGTGTGAAGATTTGCCCCAAGTTCTACTTTCTAAAAGCTTGGTCAAACCTTCCCCATAATGATAAGATCACATCTTTCTACCATGGATAAGAAAAGTATGAGTTTGGTTTAGGATGAATGTCCTAGTTGAGGGCATTCTTTCACCTTAAGTTATCCAGTTCAACTAAAACTTTTAACAGTTAAAGCTGGTCACTGAGAGGTAGAAGATTTTGATTATCAATCAACCACTTTTAGTCTTTGTCAAACTCAACAAGTTCAGTTTAGCAGAGTCTATTAGCTCGTGTGAAGTACTTTTCAAATTGATATTCTTAGTTAAACACTAAATCTTTAATCCCATGCATGTACTTGACATGATCCAGTAAATGCTTGATTTAGTGAAAAATGAGAAGACATTTGTTTGATAAACACAATTTTAGAATTGTTTTACCCAATTTGAGCAACTCCATATTTCTGAACCGGGAACATATATTAAGACATGTTTATAGTTGAACTTGAACATTATGTTGTAAAGATAATCTTATCCGCAATATCATTTTGGGACATGTTTGGACTAAATCCAATTTATGTTGTGAGCTTCCCAAACTTAAACTTATTCAATTAGGTCTTCTGAATTTTATCTTTAACTCAAATAAGTTCTTAATTTAATTTTAAGTTTAATAAAATTAATCGTCTTATTGTGTGCAATCCATTATGTTCCTAACATGTAGACTATGGAATTAATCATAATTTTAGTTTTTACACATAGTTGAGAACTTGTAAACATAGATCATGAGATCTGACGATCCATCTTGGTCAAGGTTACATCTCTTTATGACATGAATTTCCATCTCTCATCATTGCTAGTTTTGTTAGCAATATTAGATTTTAACTTGAGGTATATCAATCTTATTATTATTATTATTATTATTATTATTATTATTAATGGAGACCCCAAAGATTGGAAAAGCATTTTCTTATTATTATTGGAACTAGAGGCCCCTAGGATTGGAAAAACATTCTCCACCATATAAGAATAAGATGCGTTTTGTTTTGTATTTGGTGGCCTCACCCAAATCCCATAGGATTTGAAAAGCATTTTCTTCTTATTATTAGAACTAGAGACCCCTAGGTCTGGAAAAACATTTTTATAAGAAGCATTTTGTTTTGTACTTGGTGGCCTTACCAAAAATTGGTGGTAATATAGTCGTTGTTCATCTTGTGGGGATTGATATTTGGCAGGGTATAAATCTTGAAATTAGATGTGAATTTTGACCCATAAAAATTTGATACGTACACGTGATTTTTTTTCCACATTATATCGTTTTTTATTGCATAAAAAATATATTTATTAAATTAAAAAATCGTTGAATTTATTTGTTTTAAAATGGGTTGGCGTCTTTTATAGTTAGGGACGGGCATAGGTTAGGTTTTTGGTGACTTGAACTGACTCGAGTGTTATATTCTTCTCTCCTTACATGACTTGACTTTAGGGAGGCTCCACTCAACCCGAAATTTGACTTGATTTTTAGGATAAAGATATATTCGAACCGACTAGGGATGGCAACGGGCCGGGTTCGGGCCGGGTATTGGTCCCCCCGTCCCCGTCCCCGTTTAAAAAACCGGTACCCGTCCCCGTTTAAAAAATCGCGGGGATTTAAACGGGGATCCCCGTCGGGTAATCGAGGAAAACCGCGGGGAAACGGGTATCCCCGTTTAGCATAAACGGTTATTTAAACGGGTATTGGGCCGGGTATTGGGTCGGGTATTGGGCCGAGAATCGGGTCGGGTATATATATATATATATATATTTAAATTAAATATATAAATATATATTTTTTATTTAAATTAAATTTATTAATATTATATATATATATAAATAATTATTTTTAATATTTATCGGGTCGGGTATCGGGGCGGGTAATCGGGGCGGGTAATCGGGTAATCGGGGCGGGGATTACCAAACTCGTCCCCGTCCCCGTCCCCGTTTAAAATAAATGGGTTTTCCCCGTCCCCGTCCCCGTTTATCATCCCCGAACCCGACCCGTTTAATTCGGTTTTCGGTTTTCCCCGTCGGGTTCGGGTTTTTTTGCCATCCCTAGAACCGACACAAGTAGATATATTCCATAAAGTAGGCTTAATTGAAAAAAAATTAGAGTGAGGAGTATTATTATAACTATCTTTAAACACAAGGAACAATTAGACTATGGTCTTGTCTTGTGTTTAGGATTTTTTGGCTCTCTCTCTCTATATATATATATATATAAAAGGAAATTTATGTGTGATGTACCATCATTTGTAAATTGATAATACATCAAATATACAAGAGTTTGATGTAGACGTACATTGATAGTGAATATCATATCATAAACGACTAAACAAATTGAAGATTTTTCTTAAAAGGATAACTATATATATTTTTTAAATGTAGATGTACATTGATAGTGTATTTGAAGTCTACGCATGATGAAAAAAATATATTTTTTTGGTCAAAAGCGTATTTAATTTAATTTTCAAACTTCAATCGATGACCTAATCGATTTTTTTATGAAGAGTTTAATTTTTTTTATATTTTTATAATTTTTAGTACATTTTTATAATATATAGTTGTTTTTTTATTTTATATAACTTTTAATAAATTTTTATAGGTAAATTATATTTGATACATGCACTTAGTTTTAAAGTTGAATTTTCTACCTATTAGGCTCGATTAATCAACCAAAAGCCGCCAAGAAGGGGGTGGAATTGGCTTTGATATAGTCTAGTGGAAACTTGAATAAAAAAAATAACTTTTGGCACAGATCGATTTGTAGTATTCAACTTTTTCAACCAAAGTCTATATCCATTACTTTAGCTTTCCACCACTAAGGATTTCAACAAATTCATTAATTTGTTCTTACTTTTAAGTATAAGGTGAAATCTTACAACTCTATCTTTTCAATGGCTAAGATAAAACCAAGGTAGTTTTTCCAAGAATAAACTAGAACCACTCCCTTTCTACAAGGTTTGATTTATGTAAACAAGAAAACCTCTATAGGTAGTGTTTACAAGGAGTAAGCTCATATGAATAAAAACAAAGGACATGCAATTAAGCTTTATACACTTATGTACAAGAGAAAAATAAAGGAAATGAGATTGAAAACTCTTTTCTCTTGATCTCTAAGCTTGAATATGTGTAGTAACCTTCTTCAAGTGCCATTGGGTTGTTTTTAAATGATGGAATGAGCTTGTGGTCGTTTCTAACCATTAGGGATGTTTTGGAGCCGTTGGAAGCTTTTAATCCCTCAATTTTAGCATTTTTGCATTGTGGCTTTGAAACCAATAGAGGGGGTTTCAAACCCCTCTTGAAAAAATATGACCGTTGAAACAAGGGGTTTTAAAACCAGGCAGGGGGTTTTGAAACCATTGGTTTTGAAACCAGGTAAAGGTTTCGAAACCAGACTGAAATTTTTGAAACTTTGAGCATTATGCCTCAAATGTTTTGAAATATTAAAGGGGTTCGAAATTTTAGACCAAGAATTGAATATTTTGACTTATTTTGAGTTTCTAAAGATAATTTAAGGTGTAGATCAAGTCAAAAATACTTGGAAAACATTTTTCAAGTTTTGTGGACTTTGAATTATTTTTGAATCATTTGCACAAATTCAATTAAGTCCAAAAATATTTACGCTTATTTGTTATACCAAAATACAGGTTCAACAATCTCCCCTTTTTTTATATGACAAAACATTTGAAAAATGACAATGGGAAAACTCCACCTTAATAAAAACATTTAATGAAAAAGAGAAATATTTTGAAAAATATTTAAGCTCTCCCTTTTTCATTTTTTAAATTGATTTTTCAAACATATACATCTCCCTCTTTTTGTTATATAAAAAATAATTCAAACTTTAAGGTATTTAATAATAATGGAGAGTAAGTAGAAAATTTTAACATAAAGGCATTTTGAAAAATCAATGACTCCCCCTCAACAAATGCATTCCAAAAATAAATTTTAGCTCAAAACTTTGACACTTCAAATAATATTGAATTTCAATAAGATAAGAGAGAAGCACATTAGTAGCACATGAAATTCAATAAATACAAGTCTAAACAACTTTATGCAATATTAACATGAGACAAAGTTCATATGTATAAAGCCATAAAAAATGTTATGCATTTGAAAAATTGATATAAATTGTTAGAGAGATCATTTGCAATAAAATCACATGTATAAACATTTAAATTTAAGATCAAAAATTAAAATTTGTAAAAATAAAACATGAAAACCAAATTTGACCTAAAATCTTTATGATGAACAAACATTTATGAAAAATCATTAAAACTTTAAAATGTCCATTATAACATATTTTAACATACATGAGATAGAAAAACAACATATACTCATATATGCTCAAAACTCATGTATGCATAAAACAAAATAGGTAACCGATTATTCAAAATAAAAAACATTAAGCTTAGAGGTTACTCATTCCTCATCTTGTGTGGCTAGAGCATTTGAATGTTTTCACTTTTGTCACCATTGCTCCCACACACTTACATGAGACATTTATTT